GTTCTCCGATGAACACCACCAAGGACCAGCGGTCCAGGACTCGGGCAGCTCCAGTCCGTTGCCCGAGCCTCTCGGTGTGCTGTCCGTCGCACGTGGCGGGCTGGGCCGGCTGGGCCACGGCTGGGTCGGCGTGGCGGCACGCTCCGACGACAGGCTGCCCCTCAGAGACGACAGCAAGGAACCAGCAGGGCCGTCGTCACCCGCGAAGAGGGACGCCACGGCCGACGTGATCCTCGCAGACATCGGCGGATGCTTCAGAGGAAAAAAAGAACTGCATGCCCATAAACTTTCGGAGGCCCGTGCGGGTTTCCTGGATCTGCGCTGGGACCCCACTCCCTGGCTCGTGGAGCGCGCCAGAGGCGGAACTGGAGGCGCCGCCAGGGGGGCCCAGAGCCGATCCAAGAAATCAGCGCGGAGCTGCGGATGTTTATGTTCGTGCAGTTGTTTCTGTCTTCCATGCTTAGCCACGAGAGGCGGGTGCAGGAGGTAGCCAGGGACGCCAGTGACAGTGAATGCCGAGAAGACGGCTATTGCGGGCTCGGCAGCCGCTGTGCCAGCGCCAGGGTGCACGTTGACGGCGCGCAGCTCATCGCCGTTGGACTGCGTGGGCGAGGGCGAATCGCTGGAATAATTTGGACGGCGCTGCAAGAACTCCGCCATCGTCATCTTGGAATCCCCTAGCATGGTATCCACGCCAGCCCATTGATCTTCGCCCGGAGAGCCCTCGGAGCGACTCACAATGCTCACGACGACCATGGCGTGACGTTGTCGTTCTTTGCGACGGTTGCGTGGCAACGATGGCCTCGGGCGTGCGCCCTTGCCACCTTGGCTTGCGGATGTCCCTCCTGCCAGCTCTTCTCGAACGACCTCGGCCATGACAAAGCCGGCGTCGACGCCCATATAGACGCGGACGAAGTCTCCCCTCTTGTATCGCTTCCTCACCCGCTTGGCTGACATGTTCTTGATCAGCCTATATTCTTCCACGCCCTGCTCGGGCAAGTCCCTCAGAGCCGGGACTCCAAGCGGCCTCTCTCCACGTCCAAATTCGCCCACGCCGTCCAAGCTCGAATTTCGTCCTGCAGCATCGGATTTCCGGTCCCTGTTCTGAATCTCCAGATCCTTCTGCAGCTCAGACTTGGTGTACGTCTCCCCATCGTCGGTCAGCTCGTCCTCCAGCTCGATGTCGTATCCATTTCTGGGGTCAATGTGCCTCATCGACTTGCGGACCAGAGCGGGAAAGAAACGCCTATGGTTAGGGGAGTACACGCTGATCAAGTCGCCGTCAACAAGTGGTAAGCGCAAGTCATTCATCACAACGCCGTGCACCAACTGCCTGGACGCCCCAACATACACTTCGTAGTGGAGAACGTTGAACTTGAGATACTCGTCGAAGTACATACCTCTGGAATCGATGATCCTGGCCGGGAGCCACGTGTGCAAGGTTGCTGACCAATACTCCACGTCCTGGTTCTTGTGGTATGCCCAGTGGGGCGGGCTGACGACCGATTGCGGTTCGGTGGAATGGTGTTTCTCCTCCTCGGCCTCCTGCTTCGACATCGTGTGGTCGATCACCTCGTCAGACTCGATGCATAACGCATACGCAAACCATGCGTACCTTCCCCGGTTCTTATTCCATCTGTACTCCTTCCAAACGCGATGGTCGACGTCGCCGTCAAAGAGGGGCGCCTCCCCCTGTTGCTCCGCCGAGAGCACTTCGAAGCAGCTGCCGTGCAAGTCTTCGAACAAGGGGTGGAGCTCGTCGTTGAACTCGCCGTTCCTCGGCGCAGTTTCTTTACCGAGGACAAGGATGGTATCCTGGTGGTCAGCAGCACCGCAAAGCCCTTTCGCTTCGAAAATGCCGTCGACCTCGAGGTAGTATTGCTCCTGGTGCGCTCTGTACCCGACTGAGACTTTGTGCTGGAAGCCGTCTGCAATGTCGGTCTTCCCAGTGATGCAACTTTCGCCGACTTGCCAGCAGAGTTTGCCATGCTTGATCAACAAAACCTTCGCCTTGCCGATGCCGAATGGCGGCTTGTCATTGGGAAAGACCTTGCCGAACAGCAGCGAGTCTCTGGCCTTGGTCCTAATCGCCAAGTGAAGCTCGAAGTCCATCGTGCCGCTCAAGTTCAGGTCCACCTTCAAGAACGAGTCCTCCCTAGGGTCCAGTGGTATCAGATTGGCGCAGCCCCGCTCGCGGTCCTCGTACGCGTCGAATTGGGCCATCTGCTCCATGGTGAGGTCGTAGTGCAACCTCGTCTTTTGCTGACCGTCCTCGTCAACGACCCCCTCCGTCCTCGTCCACGCGACCTCAACTGGGTCACCTGACCGATCCAACCCCCTAATATTCACCATCCCCCTCGTCGGTACCACGCTCATTCTCCGTAAATACCGAATCCCAACGGTGGACACAATGAAGAAAGCGACGGCGATCACAGCGGCTACGATGCCGGCCTGCGCATCGCAGCCGTCGCCCGTGACGGGGTCCGGGCCTGATGGGCAGAACCAGTCGTACGGGCACGAGACGTACGTCTCACACACCCTTGTGTCGGGCATAAACGACTCCTTGGTGTAGCCTGGCGGGACGTTCGCATTGCACAGGTCCTCAGAGCCAGTCAGGCAGTCCACTGTGCGAGTCTGCTCCCCCACTCCGCACAAGTTGCTGCAAAGAGACCATGATTCGCGCGCCACCCAGCGCGCCACAGGGACGGTCACGATGGCGGACACGGGCGCCCCGACGACGAGCCTGGCCGCGGCGAGGCCCTGTGGGACAGCAACGCCGGCATCCCGCAGGGCAAAAACGAGCTCGCTGATGAGGCTGTCCCCATCTACGTTGAGGCTGGCCAGGCCGTCCGTGACAGCTGTCTCATCGTCGGCGGGGTAGATTTGAAACATCAGCTTTATCCACAGCCCCTGCAACGTCGTCAGGCGCCTCGCTGGAAGGCCAGACTGGTAATCGGAGTTCAGGCGCTTCGCCGTGTACACGTGGATCTGGTCCATGGACAGACCGAGGACCGCGCCGAACGCGCCCCTGATCGCGTCCCACTGCAAATTTCCTGAGGCCCACTCGGCGGCGAGGCCTGAGTCCAAGCTGCTCTCGACGAGCGCCACTTCCACGACAAGACCCACTGCAGAGTCGAGAGCCTCTATGTCCGCAGTCGGCATGCAGACCAGTGGGACCATGTCGAAAACGCCCCTCGTGCATTTGATGGGAGCGAGGAGCTCGTATGACGAGTTGCACACGGGCGAGCAATTTGCTCCGCTGGCGATGTTGACGCAGGACGAGCTGTCGACCACGTTCGGAATGAATGGTACCTTGTCCGCGTGACAAGCCTTCTCTGTGCACACTCCAGTGGTGTTGACCCAGTCGTAGGCCGTCGTAGCCGTGCACTCGATCAGGATTTGGTTCGCCAAGTTTTCATAGCCATCGTACTCCGAGCACGAAACGTCACACGTCTGCGTGTAGTTCCGGTCGGAACAGCCCGCGCCCACGCCGTCGTAGCCGACTGGCATCTTTAAGGCAGGGCGTCCCACGCAAACGTTGGGCTCGCACCTGGCGGTACCCTGCCACTCCCCGTCTATGAGGACCGTCCCGTTCTCGGAGACGGTGCTGCAGAGAAGCGTTTCTTCCACGTGGTATCCAGGTGCGCAGACTGGAGAGCACGTGTCGCCCCATTTGAAGCCTGTGCATTCGATGCGGAGAAGGTCGGGCAATGGGCCAACGACCTGAAAGTTGGGTCCCGCAATCCCTATGGGCACGGGGTCGACGTCGGGCCATGGACACACGCAGCACGTCGTGGACGACGTCGACGTGTGGGTCGCCGTGGTGTGCATCCACAGCTCCACGACAGGATCGCTAGCGTACCGTAGACGATGCGATGACATGATGCCCAAGTTAACCAACGTTGCCGCAACCGCTGCGGAGAAGTCGGCCGCGCCCGCCGTGTCATTCAGCGCGGCCAGGGCGCTCTGGATGTCCTCGTAGTCCGTCCCCTCCACTTCGACACGATAGTCCACATGCCACAACGTGGAGTCCGAGGTGAGCTTCCTCTCCAGGCCAAAACGGCGTCGTTCGGTGACCTCGTATACGCCGTCTATGGCGATGAGAGAGTCACTGGTCTCCAAGTACAGCGCGATGGAGGCCTTCGCGACGCTCTCCATCTCGGTCTGGGTGACCGTGGGGTCCAACGCGACCACTAACTCGGCCACAACCATGGAGAACCGCCTCGGGGTGGCCGTCCCTGTGGTCACGGACGACGAAGTGGTGGAGTCCGTGGTGCTGCTCACGGTGGTCGTCGTGAGCGACGTAGTGACGGTGGTCCGCGTCAGAGTCGCGGTGCTGGACGCTGAGGTAGTATGGAACGATGTCGTTGACGTGCCCGTGGAGGTACCGGTGAAACTGTCTGAGGTTGTCGAAGTGCCTGTTGTCGTATGGGTCATGGTTGTTGTCGACGTATCCGTGAGCGTGCCGGTGGTGGTGGAGGTCACAGATGTCGAGATGGTTGTGCTCGAGGACCAAGAAGAAGAGGTATGAGAGGTCGAGGAGACGGTTGACGAGTCAGTGGCAGTAGTTGTGGATGTCCTGGAGACTGTCGCCGTTATGGTGGATGTACCAGAGGCCGAGGTACGCGTCGACGTGGAAGTGGCGGTGGTCGTGGACGTCCCCGAAATCGAGCTGCCTGTCGTCACAGTGGTGCTGCTGGTTCCGCTCGTGCTGGTCACAGTTGTGCTGCTGGTGGCACTGGTGCTGCTGACAGTGGTGCTGCTGGTCCCAGTCGTGCTAGTCACAGTGGTGCTGCTGGTGACGCTGACAGTGCTGCGCGTTGTGCTGCTGGTCCCGGTCGTGCTGTTCACAGTGGTGCTGCCGGTTGCGCTCGTGCTGGTCAAAGTTGCGCTGCTGGTGGCGCTGGTGTTGCTGACAATGGTGCTGCTGGTGCCAGTCGTGCTGGTCACAGTGGTGCTGCTGGTGGTGCTGATGGTGCTGCGCGTGGTGCTGCTGGTCCCAGTCGTGCTGGTCACAGTGGTGCTGCTGGTTGCACTTGTACTGCTACGCGTGGTGCTGCTGGTCCTGGTCGTGGTACTCACTGTGGTGCTGCTGTTCTTAGTCGTGCTGGTCACAATGGTGGTGCTGGTTGAACTGATACTGCTACGCGTGAGGCTGCTGGTCCCAGTCGTGATGCTCACTGTGGTACTGCTGGTCCCTGTCGTGCTGGTCACAGTGGTGCTGCTGGTGGCGCTGATGGTGTTGCGCGTGCTGCTGCTGGTCCCAGTCATGCTGGTCACAGTGGTGCTGCTGGTTGCGCTCGTGCTGGTCACAGTTGTGCTGCTGGTGGCACTGGTGCTGATGACAGTGGCGCTGCTGGTGCCAGTCGTGCTGGTCACAGTGGTGCTGCTGGTGGCGCTGATGGTGCTGCGCGTGATGCTGCTGGTCCCAGTCGTGCTGGTCACAGTGGTGCTGCTGGTTGCGCTGGTACTGCTACGTGTGGTGCTGCTGGTCCCGGTCGTGGTGCTCACTGTGGTGCTGCTGGTTCCGCTCGTGCTGGTCACACTTGTGCTGCTGGTGGCACTGGTGCTGCTGACAGTGGTGCTGCTGGTGCCAGTGGTGCTGGTCACAGTGGTGCTGCTGGTGGCGCTGATGGTGCTGCGCGTGGTGCTGCTGGTCCCAGTCGTGCTGGTCACAGTGGTGCTGCTGGTTACGCTGGTACTGCTACGTGTGGTGCTGCTGGTCCCGGTCGTGGTGCTCACTGTGGTGCTGCTGGTTCCGCTCGTGCTGATCACAGTTGTGCTGCTGGTGGCACTGGTGCTGCTGACAGTGGTGCTGCTGGTGCCAGTGGTGCTAGTCACAGTGGTGCTGGTGGTGGCACTGATGGTGCTGCGCGTGCTGCTGCTGGTCCCAGTCATGCTGGTCACAGTGGTGGTACTGCTGACGGTTGTGCTGCTGGTGCCACTCGTGCTGGTCACAGTGGTGCTGCTGGTTGCACTCGTGCTGGTCACAGTTGCGCTGCTGGTGGCACTGGTGCTGCTGACAGTGGTGCTGCTGACAGTGGTGCTGCTGGTGCCAGTCGTGCTGGTCACAGTGGTGCTGCTGGTGGCGCTGATGGTGCTGCGCGTGGTGCTGCTGGTCCCAGTCGTGCTGGTCACAGTGGTGCTGCTGGTTACGCTGGTACTGCTACGTGTGGTTCTGCTGGTCCCGGTCGTGGTGCTCACTGTGGTGCTGCTGGTTCCGCTCGTGCTGGTCACAGTTGCGCTGCTGGTGGCACTGGTGCTGCTAACAGTGGTGCTGCTGGTGCCAGTGGTGCTGGTCACAGTGGTGCTGGTGGTGGCACTGATGGTGCTGCGCGTGCTGCTGCTGGTCCCAGTCGTGGTGGTCACAGGAGTGCTGCTGGTTGCACTGGTGCTGCTGACAGTGGTGCTGCTGGTCCCGGTCGTGCTGGTCACAGTAGTGCTGCTGGTGGCGCTGATGGTGCTGCGCGTGGTGCTGCTGGTCCCAGTCGTGCTGGTCACAGTGGTGCTGCTGGTTGGGCTGGTACTGCTGACAGTGGTGCTGCTGGTCCCAGTCATGCTGCTCACTGTGGTGCTGCTAGTTCCGCTTGTGCTGGTCACAGTTGTGCTGCTGGTGGCACTGGTGCTGCTAACAGTGGTGCTACTGGTCCCACTCGTGCTGGTCACAGTGATGCTGCTGGTTGCACTGGTGCTGCTGACAGTGGTGCTGCTGGTCCCTGTCGTGCTGGTCACAATAGTGCTGCTGGTGGCGCTGATGGTGCTACGCGTGCTGCTGCTGGTCCCGGTCGTGCTGGTCACGCTGGTGCTGCTGGTTGCGCTGGTACTGCTACGCGTGGTGCTGCTAGTCCAGGTCGTCGTGCTCACAGTGGTGCTGCTGGTCCCAGTCGTGATGGTCACAGTTGTGCTGCTGGAGGCGCTGATTGTGCTGCGCGTGCTGCTGCTGGTCCAAGTCGTGGTGCTCACTGTGGTGCTGCTGGTTGCGCTGGTACTGCTGACAATGGTGCTGCTGGTCCCGGTCGTGCTGCTCACAGTGATGCTGCTGGTTGCGCTCGTGCTGGTCACAGTTGTGCTGCTGGTGGCACTGGTGCTGCTCACAGTGGTGCTGCTGGTTGCGCTCGAGCTTGTCACAGTGGTGCTGCTGGTTGCACTGGTGCTGCTGACAGTTGTGCTGCTGGTGCCAGTCGTGTTTGTCACAGTGGTGCTGCTGGTGGCGCTCATGGTGCTGCGCGTGCTGCTGCTGGTCCCAGTCGTGCTGGTCACAGTGGTGCTGCTGGTTGCGCTGGTACTGCTGACAGAGGTGCTGCTGGTCCCAGTCGTGCTGCTCACTGTGGTGCTGCTGGATCCGCTCGTGCTGGTCACAGTTGTGCTGCTGGTGGCACTGCTGCTGCTGACAGAGGTGCTGCTGGTCCCAGTCGTGCTGGTCACAGTGATGCTGCTGGTTGCACTGGTGCTGCTGACAGTGGTGCTGCTGGTCCCAGTCGTGCTGGTCACAGTAGTGCTGCTGGTGGCGCTGATGGTGCTACGCGTGCTGCTGCTGGTCCCAGTCGTGCTGGTCACGCTGGTGCTGCTGGTTGCGCTGGTACTGCTACGCGTGGTGCTGCTAGTCCAGGTCGTCGTGCTCACTGTGGTGCTGCTGGTTGCGCTCGTGCTGGTCACAGTTGTGCTGCTGGTGGCACTGGTGCTGCTAACAGTTGTGCTACTGGTCCAACTCGTGCTGGTCACAGTGGTAATGCTGGTGGCGCTGATGGTGCTGCGCGTGTTGCTGCTGGTCCCAGTCGTGGTGGTCACAGTGGTGCTGCTGATTGTGCTTGTACTGCTGACAGTGGTGCTGCTGGTCCCGGTCATGCTGCTCACAGTGGTGCTGCTAGTTACGCTCGAGCTGATTGCGCTCGAGCTGGTTGCGCTCGAGCTGGTCACAATTGTGCTGCTGGTGGCACTGGTGCTGCTCACTGTGGTGCTGCTGGTCCCTGTCGTGATGGTCACAGTGGTGCTGCTGGTTGCGCTCGAGCTGGTCACAGTTGTGCTGCTGGTGGCACTGGTGCTGCTCACAGTGGTGCTGCTGGTCCCAGTCGTGCTGGTCACAGTGGTGCTGCTGGTGGCGCTGAGGCTGCTGCGCGTGCTGCTGGTCCCGGTCATGGTTGTCACAGTGGTACTGCTGGTTGCGCTCGAGCTTGTCACAGTGGTGCTGCTGGTGGCGCTGTTGGTGCTGCTGACAGTTGTGCTGCTGGTCCCACTCGTGCTGGTCACAGTAGTGCTGCTGCTGCTGCTGCTGCTGCTGCTGCTGCTGGTCCCGGTCGTGCTGGTCACGGTAGTGCTGCTGGTTGCGCTAGTACTGCTGACAGTGGTGCTGCTGGTCCCTGTCGTGGTGCTCACTGTGGTGCTGCTAGTTGCGCTGGTACTGCTACGCGTGGTGCTGCTGGTCACAGTCGTGTTGGTCACAGTGGTGCTGCTGGTTGCGCTCGTGCTCGTCACAGATGTGCTGCTAGTGGCGCTGGTGCTGCTGACAGTGCTGCTGCTGGTCCCAGTCGTGCTGGTCACAGTGGTGCTGCTGGTGGCGCTCACGGTGCTGCGCGTGCTGCTGCTGGTCCCAGTCGTGGTGGTCACAATGGTGCTGCCGGTTGCGCTCATGGTGCTACTACGCGTGCTGCTGGTCCAGGTCGTGGTGCTCACTGTGGTGATGCTGGTTCCGCTCGTTGTGGTCACAGTTGTGCTGCTGGTGGCACTGGTGCTGCTCACAGTGGTGCTGCTGGTGCCAGTCGTGCTTGTCACAGTGGTGCTGCTGGTGTTGCTCATGGTGCTGCGCGTGCTGCTGCTGGTCCCAGTCGTGCTGGTCACAGTGGTGCTGCTGGTTGCGCTGGTACTGCTCCGCGTGGTGCTGCTGGTCCTGGTCGTGGTGCTCACTGTGGTGCTGCTGGTTGGGCTGGTACTGCTGACAGTGGTGCTGCTGGTGGCACTGATGGTACTGCGCGTGCTGCTGCTGGTCCCAGTCGTGGTGGTCACAATAGTGCTGCTGGTTGCGCTGGTACTGCTACGCGTGGTGCTGCTGGTCCCGGTCGTGGTGCTCACTGTGGTGCTGCTGGTTCCACTCGTGTTGGTCACAATTGTGCTGCTGGTGGCACTGGTGCTGGTTACAGTGGTGCTGCTGGTGCCAGTCGTGCTGGTCACAGTGGTGCTGCTGGTGGCGCTGATGGTACTGCGCGTGCTGCTGCTGGTCCCTGTCGTGCTGCTGACAGTGGTGCTGCTGGTTGCGCTCGTGCTGGTCACAATTGTGCTGCTGGTGGCACTGGTGCTGCTGACAGTGGTGCTGCTGGTCCCAGTCGTGCTGGTCACAGTGGTGCTGCTGGTGGCGCTAACGGTGCTGCGCGTGCTGCTGCTGGTCCCAGTCGTGGTGGTCACAGTGGTGCTGCTGGTTGCGCTCGAGCTGGTCACAGTTGTGCTGCTGGTGGCGCTGGTGCTGGTGACAGTGGTGCTGCTGGTGGTCCCAGTCGTGCTGGTCACACTGGTGCTGCTGGTGGCGCTGAGGGTGCTGCGCGTGGTGCTGCTGGTCCCACTCGTGCTGGTCACAATGGTGCTGCTGGTTGCGCTGGTACTGCTACGCGTGGTGCTGCTGGACCTTGTCGTGCTGCTCACTGTGGTGCTGCTGGTTCCGCTCGTTGTGGTCACAGTTGCGCTGCTGGTGGCACTGGTGATGGTGAAAGTGGTGCTGCTGGTTCCGCTCGTGCTGGTCACAGTAGTGCTGCTGGTGGCGCTAATGGTGCTGCTCACAGTAGTGCTGCTGGTGCCAGTCGTGCTGGTCACAGTGGTGCTGCTGGTGGCGCTGGTACTGCTACGCGTGGTGCTGCTGGTCCTTGTCGTGCTGCTCACAGTGGTGCTGCTGGTTCCGCTCGTGCTGGTCACAATTGTGCTGCTGGTGGAACTGGTGCTGCTGACAGTGGTGCTGCTGGTTGCGCTCGCGCTGGTCACAGTGGTGCTGCTGGTGTCGGTCATGGTGCTGCGAGTGCTGCTGCTGGTGCCAGTTGTGCTGGTCACAGTGGTACTGCTGGCTGTGCTGGTACTGCTACGCGTGGTGCTGCTGGTCCCGGTCGTGCTGCTGATAGTGGTGCTGCTGGTGCCACTCGTGCTGGTCACTGTGGTGCTGCTGGTGGCACTGGTGCTGCTCACAGTGGTGCTGCTGGTTCCACTCGTGCTGGTCACAGTGGTGCTGCTGGTGTCGCTCACGGTGCTGCGCGTGCTTCTGCTGGTCCCAGTCGTGCTGGTCACAGTGGTGCTGCTAGTTGCGCTAATGGTACTGCTACGCGTGGTGCTGCTGGTCCCGGTCGTGCTGCTGACAATGGTGCTGCTGGTTCCGCTCGTGCTGGTCACAGTAGTGCTGCTGGTGGCACTGGTGCTGCTGACAGTGGTGCTGCTGGTCCCAGTCGCGCTGGTCACTGTGGTGCTGCTGGTGGCGCTGATGGTGGTGCGCGTACTGCTGATGGTCCCAGTCGTGCTGGTCACAGTGGTACTGCTTGTGACGCTGAATGTGCTGCGCGTGCTGCTGCTGGTCCCAGTCGTGCTGGTCACAGTGCTGCTGGTTCCGCTCGTGCTGGTCACAGTTGTGCTGCTGGTGGCGCTGATGGTGCTGACAGTGGTGCTGCTAGTCCCAGTCGTGCTGGTCACAGTGGTGCTGCTGGTGGCACTGGTGCTGCTGACAGTGGTGCTGCTGGTCCCACTCGCGCTGGTCACAGTAGTGCTGCTGGTGGCGCTGATGGTACTGTGCGTGCTGCTGCTGCTGCTCGCGGTCGTGCTGGAAATCACTTGCCAACCTGGCAAAAAGCTTAAGGACATCTCTGAGGACTGCATAGAGTAAAAATACCCTTTCCAGGTATGCCAAATAATACCTGTAGCATATGAAGATACACTTCCGGGTCCTTCGTAGCGCCCGTTCAAATTTGACAGGTGGCAGGATTCGTACCACCACGCGCCAAAAAATGCACTGGCGCAGTTGCTTGACGAAAGGTCGTTGTCCTGATCACTGGTTGTAAAGCTGCGCCGCCCGTTGTGGATGGCCAGGCTGTCTCCGATGTCTCCTGAATACCCGCCGACTGTCAATTGATATAGGTTCGATTCGCTGTCCACGTGGAAATTGGAATACGTGGCGTGCCCCGGCTGACCAGTGGCGTCCACTAGGTCCACCCGCAGCTCGATCTCGCTCGACGCTTCAGTGAGACGGTGGATGTTGTCATTCCCGAGCCAGAAGTTGTCGTTGTCGCCAGAGCCCGACTTGTACTCGGACCACCCCCTGAAGAAATCAATGCTGCCACTGGTTCTTTTTTGGATGACGACCCTCCCACTGGACAACGTGACTGCGATGGGGTCGCCACCGTCGCCCAAGTCTAAAATGACCTGCCCATCCGGCGCATGTGCCAGACTGGTCGCCTTCGCCGCGCTGCGTAAAACCGTGGCATTACTCGCGTCGAGCATTGGAGTATGCCGAGTCGTCTTCTTGTGCGCTCTTGAGCTCATGAAAGTCATCGCAGAAGGCTGTCTGTCTAGATGCCTCCCAGGCGTGATGTGTTTTTGTGTTTGTGTGCGGGTTGTGCTGCTACTGGTACTGGTACGTGTTGTGCTGCTGGTCTCAGTCGTGCTGGTCACAATGGTGCTGCTGCGCGTGCTGCTGCTGGTCCCGGTCGTGGTGGTGCCTGTGGTACTGCTGGATCTGCTGGTGCTGGTCACGGTGGCCCTCGTGCTGGTCTCCGTCGCCACCAGCATCCCCGGGGATGCCGCAGAAATCGCCGGGAAGTCCCCGTCAATAAGAAGGGCATTGCAAGACCAGCCAGCGTTCTCTGCACGGGTCAAGCTCAGATCCATGCCCCACATAAGCCAACACTGACCACTTGTCGAGTGCGACGGGTTATCCGCGTGGAGTGAGTACAACTCCACACCCCTGCAACCGAGCGTCTGGACGCACAATGCCTTGCAAGCGGCAAAAGTTTGCGTCCCTGGGTTGATGCGTGAACCGTCCTCTTCAATCTGTGGGTCATAAGAGTCAAGTGATCCCTCTAGGGCACCCGCCGCAATCAATGCTGTCATCTCAGTGATCTGCGCGGATGTAACACCGCAGTCGCCTTGCACTGACTCCCACGAGATGCGGCTTGATGAAGCGCCTGCGTGGCGCACCAGCACGTGTAAGTACGCATACGTAAGCATACGTGCGCAAGACATCATAGGTAGCACGCTGCCCGTAGACACAACTCTGGCGTGCAATCGCGTCAACGAAATCCGCCTGAGCCAAGACATGCTAACACATAACTCGCTTGCTGGTCAAACGCGCTGAATGCGTGCTAGATTCATGAGTTACGAAATCGCCCGAGTATGGCTGCCCCTGGGAGTCCCTGGGGGGAGATCCAGCCAGTGTGTAATACGGCGATGCATGCGCGATGGTCTCAAAGGCCTTTCGGCTTCAGATGGCTTCGGGAGCTCTTCAGAGGGCCACAAGATGGACTCGTATCGCCCCAGAGGGTCCGCGAGATGGACCTGAAGGGATTGAATCTGGCCCCGGGATGACCCGAAAGAGCGAGGGCGCGCCGCTGGCTGGCCCGAACAAGGGGGCAAGGGTTGAGACTCCCCCCCTTTTCTGGGCCCGCCGTACGGGACCTCCCCCCAATCCCGATCCATCGTCCCGCACACCTCCCCGACCCCCTTTGGGGCAAGGGGTTGAATCCCCCCTCGCCCCATGTGTCCCACAAAGAATGGGGAAAAGATTGCAGCCCACCCATACTCCGGACCATACCGCTACCACCCGACCGCCCTGATAACCCTAATATCCTAAACATCAAACCCTAACCCTTACCATAACCCTAGCACCCTAAACCTATAGCACCCGAACCCTAACCTTACCACCCTAAGCATGAGCACGAATCCTAGCCCTAACCCTAGCACCTTATCAGTCAAATCCTAACACCCTAACGCTACTGCCCTTACCCTAACGCTTGCAACCTAACAACGACACCCTAACCCTAATACCCTAACCCTGACAGCCTAACCCTAACGTCCTGACCCTAACCCCTTCCTCCTAGACCTAGCCCCCTAATCCTAACCCCCTAAGCCTAACGCCCTACCCTTAACCCGACATCCTTCACCTAAAGACCTTAGCACTAATACCCTCCCCTGACACGCTGACCCTGACCATATCACCCTCACCCAAGGCAACACACCCTAAACCGAACACGTGACCCGTCAACCTAACACCCTAACATTAACACCCTAGCATTAACCGTGACCCTAACATCCTAATCCTAGCGCCCTGACCCTACACATAACACCCTAACCCCAAGCCACAACCTCAACCCTACCCCTAACAACCTCAACCTCACTCTCACACCCTCATATTACCACAAAACCCTAGCCCTAATACCTTCATCCGAACTACGTCATCACAAACTTCAGCCCTAGGCCAAACACCCCAACCCTAACACGCTGACCCGAACACCCTGATCCTAACCCGTGCACCCTGACCCCAACACCGTAAACCTCACACACACACACACACACACACACACTAAGTGCCCCGAACACCACCAGCCGTCGGTTCGCGACCCCCGCTCTTCTACCGCTCTCTGGCTGAGGGGGGGGTCCCCCCGCATTAGCCATCCGCCCGAGCACACCCATGTTCCAGCCTTCCTCAAACACTCCTCCTCCCCTCTCTCCGACCTGCTCCGTCTTCCTCTCCCCCACGGGAACGGGAAGAATGCTCTGGACGGGCTCTTGGAGGAAAAGGGGGAACACATCTGTCGTCGACCGGCCAAGAGCCATTCCAGCCGCCAGCGACGGCGTTGCTGATGGTGGTCCTACTTTCTCTGGCTGCACACCAGCAGAACTCCGCATGGTTCGCAAACCCTGCGCCGCTCAGTTCAGAGCGGCGCCTCCCAGCGCCCTGGCTTTAGCGGCTTGCTCGTGAGCAGGGGCAAGACAAACGCTTCAAATGGTCATCGATGCTTCCACATCCTACGCGTGCGCTCCTCCATAAGCTGGAACTGATCGCTCTTCCTGCTTGAGGCCTAGATCTGATATGCAGTGCCGTGAGGTGCAGAGCAGTGCAGAGCGTACGAGGGATGCAGGAATGCGACGGTGAGGGGCTGGTCACCCGCCCTCGGGCCCCCCGGAGGGCGGTCGGGGTCGCTGAACAACAACAGCGCCGTGCATGGCGGCGGGGGCGGCGCGGTGGCTTGATACCACGGAGTGGTGAACCAGTGACGCCGCGGCCGAGAATCGCTGCAAAACTCACTCGACTGCAGCTGGAGTAACGGAGAGAGCGAGGTACGAGTGATGACGTGCTGGTGGGGCGAAGCCCTCTAGGGAGGGGTCCAGGGGAGAGGCGAGGGGGGCACATTCCGGCGGTAATGGCCGCGGGGGGGCCGTTTCCCTCGTAATTTGTTCGAATCAAGCGGCTCGCGGGCGCCTTCCACGGCCCGTTTCCTAATACGTTTTCGAATGAAGCGGCTCCAGGGCTTCAAGACGGCCCAAGAGGGCCCCAAAACGACCCCAAAACGGCCTCAATAGAGCTTCGGCTGGCCTGCAGACGGTCCAAGAGAGCCTCGAGACGGCTCCAGAGACCTTCTAGAGGGCTCGAGGAGGCCAAAAACATGGATGCCCCTAAAGTGTTCGACAATGTTTCATGTTCTCGCCTTTTCTGGCCCAGACGTGCCCAACACGGTATATGAGGTCCCAAAGCTCGTCCCTAGACGGCCCCAGAGGCCCCCCAAAGAGGCGAAAAACAATACAAGAGGGCCCCCAAACAGCCCCAGAGGGCCCCCCAAGACGGCCCCAAGACAGCCCCAAGAGAGCCCCGAGGGACCCAAAGAGGGGGCCCCCCAAAGGGCCCCAAGTGGCCCCCGAGAGAGCCCCAATACGGCCACAGGCTTCCAAGACGCCCCGAGACGGTCCAAAAGGGCCCCAAGACGGCCCAAAATTGCCCCCCAAAGGCTCCACATTTGCCCCCAGAAGATCCCGAAGAGGCCCAAGAGACGCTCAAGAGCACCATGGCTCCCATCAGCGGTGACGTAAAGAGCTCTTCACACCGACGCTCCCCAGAGCGAGCAGCAACGTATAAAACTCTCACCACCAGGGCTCCCAACGGCGACGGCGACGCAAGAAACTCTTCACACCAAGGCTCCCAAGAGCGAAGGGTGCCATGAACCCTCTGGGGCAAATCCCACCAGCCCTTTGGGCGTGAGTGGTTTAGGGAGCTCTCTCTGTCCTCAACCCCCCTTCTTCCCCTTCGGGGAGGGGTTTACCCCCCCCTACCCCCTCCCCCTGGACCTGGAGAGGGAGTTCCGCGGGTCGTCAGGGGGGTCTTTTTCGACGTCTGGGAGGGCCAAAAAACGACGACCCTCACGAGGATTCTGGCCCCGAGGGGGGCTGGGAGTTTGGTGCCTCAGCTCGTCTTTGAAGCAACAATCATTGATTTTACTAGGGTTTTGGGCCCATTTTGGGCTTCTGAGGGGGCAGCGCTCATCGTCCTTCATAGCAAAATCATTGATTTTACGAAGGTTTTGGGCTCATTTTGTCCTTCTCAGGGGGCAGCGCTCATTTGCGCTTCTGAGGAGGTCGCAAGAGGCCCCTGGCCCCAAGAGGCCCCCCCAAGAGGCCTCCAAGAGGCCCCCAAGAGGCCCCCCCCAAGAGGCCCCCAAGAGGCCCCAAGAGGCCCCCAAGAGGCCCCCAAGAGGCCCCCAAGAGGCCCCAAGAGGCCCCCAAGAGGCCCCCAAGAGGGCCCCCAAGAGGCCCCCAAGAGGAGGCTCCAAGAGGCCCCCAAGAGGCCCCACGAGGAGCCCGAACGACTCACACCAGGACGAGGGGCCCGAACGACTCACACCACGAAGAGCCCGAACGACTCACACCACAAGGAGGGGCCCGAACGACTCACACCAGGACGAGGCGCCCGAACGACTCACACCACGAGGAGCCCGAACGACTCACACCACGACGCGGGCCCCGAACGACTCACACCACGAGGAGCCGAACGAGTCACACCAGGAGGAGGGGCCCGAACGACTCACACCAGGACGAGGGGCCCGAACAACTCACACCACGAGAAGCCCGAACGACTCACACCAGGACGAAGAGCCCGAACGACTCACACCACGAAGAGCCCGAACGACTCACACCAGGAAGAAGGGCCCGAACGACTCACACCAGGACGAGAAACCCCAAACGACTCAAACCACGAGGAGCGCTTTCTCTCCCTCCTCCTCCGCCTCGTCCTTCTCCCGCTCCCCCCACAAGGAGGATGTACAAGGAGGCGGGAGGAAGGAGGAACAGGGGAGATATGCGGGGCCAAGCGGACACACGCCTGAAAAACACGACTGTCGGCATGCTTCGCAAGAGTTGCTGCTGTGAGATGGGCTGGTGGGGATACGCGAAGCGTAAAGAATTCCTGA